CTGGAGGAAAGGTTACCTGGTGAAACTACCAAAGAAGGGCGACCTGGGACTCTGCAAGAACTGGCGAGGAATCATGCTCCTGTCGACGCCAAGTAAAATCCTGAGTCGCATCATCCTGGAGAGAATCAAGGACGCGCTGGATACAGAACTCCGACCAGAACAAGCTGGATTCAGGAAAGGCAAATCATGTTCTGACCAAATTGCAACTCTACGCATTATCATCGAACAAAGCATGGAATGGCAATCAAATCTCTACCTCAACTTCATAGACTTTGAGAAGGCCTTCGACAGCGTTGACCGCGAAGTAATTTGGAAACTACTCGAGTACTACGGCGTATCGCAAATATTCATCAACCTTATTCAACAACTGTACGACAACGGCACATGTCAAGTGATCCACAACGGAAAACTCAGCGAAGCGTTTGGAGTAAACACAGGAGTCAGACAAGGGTGCTTATTATCACCAATGATATTCCTAATTGTGGTGGACTGGATTATGCGTCAGACATTGGGAAACGAGAAGACAGGGATATCCTGGACCGACGTGAAGAACCTAGAAGACCTGGATTTCGCGCGTGGATGATATATGTTTGATGTCACACAAAATCGAAGACTTACAAGCGAAAACCGACAAACTGGTCGAAGAAGCAGCCAGAGAATACAGGACTCCAGGTGAACATAGACAAGATGGAGGTAATGAAAATAACCAACCAACAACAACAACAACAGCAGCAGAAACATCCAGCGCCAATCAACATCAACGGGAGGGATTTGAAAGAGGTTACTTCTTTCACTTATCTAGGGAGCATTGTCTCAACCACAGGAGGAACGGACGAGGATGTCAAATCGAGAATCGGGAAGGCGAGAAACACATTCATCAACCTGAAACCAATCTGGAAATCTTCGTCACTCACCATCAACAACAAAATTCGGATTTTCAATACAAACGTCAAGTCAATTTTGCTTTACGGATCAGAAACTTGGCGGGTCACCAAGAATATTTTCAACAGGTTGCAGACCTTTATCAACAACTGTCTTCGCTCCATACTGAAGATTAGATGGCCAGAAAGAATCACAAACAAGAAGCTATGGGAACAAACGAAACAGGAACCAATCGCCCAACAAATATGCAGGAGGAAGTGGAGATGGATTGGACACTCGCTGAGGAGGCCGTTGAGTGACATCTCGCGTCAAGCCCTCGAGTGGAACCCGAAAGGGAAGCGGCGAGTGGGACGTCCAAGGGTGACATGGAGGAGATCGTGTGAGGACGAGATGAAACAGTATGGAATAACATGGACGCAAGTGAAAAGAACAGCAGAAGACAGAAGCAAGTGGAGACGTGCAGTTGAAGCCCTATGTTCCACTAGGAACCCAAGGGAACAATAATAATAATAATAATAATTACTATGTGGAATTAAACAAATAATAATTGTATCCATGTAAACTAATGTATATAAATGCGATTGTGCAGCTGCTTTTGAGAATGAAATCGCCGAAAAGATATCTTTGCTGAACTTCGTGTTCTCTTCTTTCTAGTGTCTTTATGGGTGTTTCCCGCGATCAAGAGAAATGACTCACCACCAATATCAGAGATATAGAAAATATTACTCCTGACCATATTAAAGGACAGGAAATAATGTTACATTTCATTTTGTCTTAATTTATTATAAAGCTGTACCATCACATATATACAGCATGTGTATACAAGATACAAATACTTCAAATGAACATGAGTTGTCTTTGGATGTAGAATCCATATTTACGAAAGTTCCACTGACAGAGATCGCATAGTTTACAATCATATATATTCAAGACAACAAATTGAAAATAGGGATACCCATTACAGATCTGAAAGAACTACTTTTGAAATGTACATTCAATGTACAGTTTACTTTCAATGAAACAATCCACATACAGAATAATGGTATAGTTATGGGTTCTCCATCGAGTCCACACCTTGCACACTGTTTCATGGACAGTCTAAAAAATGATCAGTTGAAGTCAACAATCCAGTTTTCAAATGTATAAAAATGTGTGTAGATAACAAATTTATTATTTACGATAGTCATTGTAATTTGAGGAATGTATAAAACGCATAAAATGGTTGCCATCCAGCGATAAAATTCACACTCGAAATGGACAACGAGTCTAGTATATATATCCTCGATTCTATATGTGACATTAATTGATTTGGGACTTGACATTTAACTATGATCATAATCACACACATTTTAATTGCATTTCATACTACCATTAATATTTTATGCATTCACACCTACGATTCAATTCCCACACTGGATACAACATCTTACAAACTATATATATATATATATTTCCGGTGTGGGAATTGAATCATAGGTGTGAATACTTTAAAAATAATAGCATGAAATGCAATGGAAATTTAAATGTTTGTGATTATGATCATAGTTAAATGTAAAGTGTCAAAACAATTAATGTCATATATAGAATGATTCATATTATGGATAGAACTTGAAAAAGGGTGTGCAATTATAGGATTAGTAGACAAATCGAATAAAATAAAAACGTCACGAAATATTGTGTGAAATTTGATAACATAGGATTTAATGTTGCAAAACAGAATTGATTTAGAATGACAAGTGGAACCAGTGAAATAAGACTGAGGACAGTTCAAAGTGTGAATGGTAATAATAACAATTGACGTAATAAAGGAAGAGTATACAAATTGAAAAGACAAAATGAAAAAATTGGTAGTTCGAATATAAGACTAGGGATCACCATACTTTAGCATAGAGGGATTAATACCATGAAAGTTGGAGGATTTGAGCGAACTTTTTCTGTACACAGATATCTGGCTTTTCAGTTTCGATAGCTAAAGCTACAGCAGTGCAGCTGAGTCGGGTACGTAGTGATTTCTGTGAATTGCTTTTTACTTGTAGATGACTTTAAAGGTGGAGGGTGTAGAGATAGGGTGATCAATATCGACCAGATGTTCATTGATCGTCCTTCTTTTGACTTCATTTCCACCTCTTCGTAACTACAAAACAGGATAGTGTTCTTGCACGCTCTTGGACAAAACTCGAGTCGAACGATCGATACACCTAGCTCCACACGAGCAGGTGAATTGATAAACGTACATTGAATTGGTCAACAGCGGGATCTTGTCCTTCAGGTTATTGAACAATAATGGTCGAATGGTAAAGACTATTCTGAAAGATACAGCAGGGAATATTCTTTTCAGGGACTGTGATACCCTTCTTTTAGTGATATCGGAAGCTAAGTCACCTATGAATTCCAAGCTAATGTGCAGTATTTACTTGGTTGGGGATGATAAGTCACGTTCCATAGGATTTGACTGTATATTCTTGTCTATAAACCGTGGTGGAAATCTATTACCTATTACGATTTTCCCTAAGAGACTTAACTCATCCTCCACAGTATCAGGTTTCGCTCTTGACAAATGGGTACTCAGCTGTAGAAATTCGTCAGTTGACCGTTCCATGGCGGCTTTCGATAAATTGATCTCTTCAGAGTTCCACTGGTCCTCCTTGATAAGTTCACACAGAGGAAGTGAATACTAGACTCGTCTATTTCAAGTGTGAATTTTAATCGCTGGATGGCAACCAATAAATGTATTTTATATATTACTGAAATTATAACGACTATTGTAAATAATAAATATGTTATCTACACACCTTTTATACATTTGAAAGCTTTGGATTAGTGTCTTCAACTGATCATTTTCTAGACTGGCCATGAAACAGTCTGTGAGGAGTGGACCCGATGGAGAACCCACTGCTATACCATCATTCTGTCTGTAGATTGTTTCAATGAAAGTAAATTGTACATTGAATATACATCCTCAAAGTAGTTCTTTCAGATCTGTAATGGGTATCCCTATGTTCAATTCGTTGTCTTCAATATATTCGCTCATAAAATATACGATTTCTGTCAGTGGAACGTTCGTAAATAGAGTTTCTACATCTTTGCAGAATCATTTGTGTTATCAAATTATAACATCTTACTTATTTGTTTTATTTTACTGATAACACTCAGCTTATTGACGAATAACACTCGTCTTATTTCCCATCTTAATACATTCACATATTTCCGAATGTAATTTATCTTCCTTACATCAACTTCACGCATGCCTGTTGAACTTTATATTGCCACCTTTATTTATTCACTCATAAATCGAATCAATTTATAACTCATGTATATAAACGAAGTTGGGAAGCTGTGTAGGCATCTTGATATGATTATGGGCAGCAGTAAATTGTGCTCGAAACGCAGTCATCAGTAAATATGACTGTATAACAACACTGTGACATTTTAGAAAAAATAAAATGTGCTCCATAATGTCTGAAATGTGGACTGGTTGAATTTAAAGACTGCGTGTGAACAAGGCGAAACATAGATGGTTATTCACTGAAATCATTTACGAAATTGTAGGCATTAATCCGAAATCTTAACCGCTCTCTTATAAACAGCAGCTGTCCAGTACTCCCTGGTTTTCAATGGTTCTCTAACTGATATCAGTCCGTGATCAACTCGTAAAAACATATATTTTTTTTTTTTTGATTACAGCTTGATTCCACACAGTACTTTTTGGTAGAAGTATGGAATTTTCAGCATGTGATATCGGTAGCCCCACTTTTGCAGGCCGACCATTGATATCAGGTGTGAGTTGGCAGGGGATCGAACTCCGGACTATGTGCATGGTCGGCGAGAGACCTAACCACTGTGCCACCGACGTTTACTGCTATTGCATACATTAAATGGAGCAACATAACACGTAATAAAGACGTTAAACATAAGATGTTAGGAAAGAAACAAAGGTTAATCGACAATGTTATACAAATCATTGAGTGTGTGTTAGCAAAGTCACTTACTCGGCTGCACAACAAGCCATTGACTAGATACTGTTGAAATATTCACGGAAGGAAGCTTCAACAAGTTTAGTGGATTAAAAAAAATAAAAACAACAACAGATGATGGCGATGATGATAATGATAACTCACTTCATCATATTTTTTCACATCAACATAAATATTTGTACCGGGAATTTGACCAAGTTCATAGTAATATGACGACTGTGTACGATACAATACTGTTAATAGGGAAAAGCCTAATCCTGTGACTAGACCAATCGGGACATCAATACACGTTGTGGCTAGAAATGTTACAAGCCATATAAGCTAGTGAAACAAAAGAATAATAAACAGGCGCATAAATAAGAAGTGTTATGTAATTTTATTTGTACAATTGATAAAATAGCCAGAAAGAATTTAAAGCAAACAAACTTAGAAGCGATTGCTTAATAAATATCCTGTAGCAAAATGGAGAGGGACCAGAAAAACGTCACTGAAGAGACCGTCAAATGACATCGCACGTCAGGCCATTATTCGAGTGGAACCCGAATAGGAAACAACTAGTTGGGCGATGGTTCAAGGGTGATATGTAATAGGTAGTGCGAGGAGAAACTATGGTGTCTGTCTGTTATCAACATAGAACTTCACACCAATGTGCAGCTGTTCAAGTCACCACACTCCCTCCATGTAGCACACAAAGCGCGAGAAGAAAGTAAAAAGAAATGCAAAATAGACACAGTAAACAGAGATATGAGGCAAAAGGAATAGTCATAACGAAGAACAATATAGTTTCACTGGAAATTATAAGTCACAAGGAGTGGATGCATCTGCGCCATCCACTGACCAGCGTAGGGTAAGTCGGTATGTACAATTTTAGGGGTCGACCTTTCCTAACCCCCTCTCTCCAGAGTGGATAGACAGCATAGCCAGCATGCTGGTCGTCCGAAGGAAACACCTCACTGCTGTTACATCCCTGTTTCCCAGCAGTACGACTTCACCCACAGACCCCCAGCATAGTGTAAAAACAATTTTTACACCACACCGATAACTGCTTTTAGTCTAATCGCTATCCTGACAACCTTCCTGGCATGGTAGGACCTGCAGGAACAATAGTTCCAGCCAGTGTAGCTTGTTGGGTCATTGCGATGTGCAGGCCCAACCACCACATCAAAGTAGCAGCTATCGGTCGGGGGAGAAACTATGCGCAATCGTTGGAAGAGTTAAAGATGACCGCGAAGAATAGGGTAAAGTGGATGTATGCTATTGGAGTCCTATGTTCCACTCGAAACCCAAGGGAAAACAATAATACAAGTACCTAGAGTGATTGATTCATTGTCACAGTGAATCGTAACTGCCAGGACCTAAAGTTAAAGGAAAAAGTACTGAAGTAGCTGAATTAAATGACCAAACAGTAAAAACGTTATGTCTTATAAGTGGACAATGACTTGCAAGATGAAAGAATTGGAAGGTATAGAAAGCAAAAATAAAAGAAAGAAGATACTAAGAAGATAAGTACAACGATACATTGAAGGTATTTCATCTTCACATTGATGAATACTAGTTGCGACACATCTCCGCGGCACTCAGTTCACTGGCGTCATATCTTTAGACCACCTTACAACTGCCCAGCTTTCTTTACCTCTTCATATTTTCTACTCTCTGTTACCCTGCGGTACCTGACCTGTCGCTTCGCATTCGGATTCCAATCGAAGGCGTGGTAAGTGATACCCCTCAATGGTCTTCTCAAAGCATGTCCAAACTATCTCAATTTCTTTCTGAATATTTGTTAGGTAATGGATTCTCAGCCGGTTCGTTGACAGACTAACAGAGTTGCTGTTGCTTACCCTTTCTGGTCAGTCATCTAATGGAAATGATTTCGGTGACACGTGTGTGGAGTCTCTCAGGAAAATTTGTGTCCAGTGTTCAGTGTTGCAAAGCTTTACACCGACTTCAGATTAATAAACGCCTATCTTTACTTCTTTAAGAAGTCGTCGTCTGTATTTGAAAGTACGCTGAGCAGGTAAGTAGAAAACAACTTCTCCTATTGATGGTGATTAATGATTTTTGTCGTTTGTTGGGTGTCTTCCCTATCTATGTTCACCTAACTTCCTGTCATGACTGCCTCTTCTAACCACTCGCTAGATTTCTCAACGAGGTTATGCTCTACATGAGGCGTAAATCCTTTCCAATATCCAGATCTAGGGTCTTATTGTCAGTTCAATGTGTGCCTGCATTCTCCATCCCTATGCAAATGGATATGTCGTTTAACAGTATTGAAGATGGGATTCGCTAACCACTGGGCTAATAATACATACATAACTACTGGTCTAAGTGATACCACAACCACTCAAAATGCATTAATTAATCAAAAAGATATTGAAAATTATCTTATTTCTTTGAAAAGTGTGTATAACCTAATGTGCCAGTATTGATCAGTGTTTTAGTTGTTAGAAATGAATGTTCGGTATTTAACAGCACACACACGAAAAAGAACTACAATTAAAGGCTTCTCATCATCTTTTGTTCCTCCAATATTACTAGGTCTGTCTGTGTTTGAAATTACTGAATGTTCACACTAATTTAAGGTAAAAGAAACAACAACTAATATATGGTGTCCCTTAATACTTAGTGCTAAGCTCATATGTCGTTATCTAACAACAACCAATATACGGTCATATAGTTTGAAAGCTGTTGTAGGCATAGTTTTCGCTCTTATCAGAAGTCCCAGCTTCAATGAAGGGAAGAGAAGACATGAGTCTATAAGAAGAACAAAAGGTAGTCTTTTAGTCAACTGAGGATTCCGTGAGTTATTTTCCATTCGACTGGAATAAAGGTCTTTTTCTTTTGGCGCAAGGAGATTCATCGTGCTGAAGTTTCTGTAGCAGCTTTGTTTACAGGGTGGGGTTGCTAGCCTCACGCCTGAGAAGGGGAGAGAGAAAAGGTTAGTGTTGCGTGACCGCAAAGCCCAGGGACAACTGCTTGAGGCCGGTCACACGCGGCCTGTTTTTGTTTGTTCTTTCTTATTTGGTGTGTCTCAGTAGCATATTTATCGCTTCTGCCCTGTGACACGGCAGCAGGAAGCGCGATCGTTGTTAATCCGGGCCCCGACCGATCCGGCATGATATTTTGTGAGTTTGTTTGAATCATAGTATTGGATTGGGTAGCTGCTTTTTGTCTAACCGCTATCAAAAGAACCTTTCTGGCATGGTAGGACCTACAGGAACATAAGTTCCAGTCAGTGTAGCTCGTTGGGTCATTGCGATATGCAAGGTCTCTGTTTTTAAGTGTTGCTCTCCAAGAATTTGATCGATTTCAAGGATGACCACCAACTAACTACTGTGAGATAGTCAGTGAAAATCACCGAGTACTGGATGGCTATTTCGTCTCTTTTCGGAAATCATCCCACCAGGGATTGAATTCCAGCAGCCAAACACTTGAAAATTCATCTGATGCTCATTAGTGAAGGAGGTGTTGACCAGTTGGAGAAGCAAAGCTGAATATGAGGATAAATTCTTGGCCATGACATTGGTTGGTAGTCATGCTACATATCAATGATTGGCAAAGGTTAGGATCTATAAGGCCATCGGATTCTGTATTAGTCGTTCAGTGGTATTCGAGCTCTTCGTGCAACCTGAAGGTTCTGAGTTCTATGCCTTGAGGTGAAGTGAAACGGTGTACGGCTGGAGAGTTATTAGCAAGTATGAAACAGGTATCAAGTAGTCGCTGGTTCTCAATGGTCCACTAACTAGGATCAGTCCGTGATTATTGTCGAAAACATCTCTGTGTGGAATGAAACATAACTACAATGAAGAACACTGAATGATCGTCAGTACAAGTAACCAAATACAAGCAAGAGACAAAGCATGAAAGTGTAGGCTTCCTGATAGAACCTCTGAGATATCAAGAGTCAAAGATTAAAAGGTCTTGACAGGGAGAAGAAAAGGTTTGATCAGATTGACATAATCGAATACTTTTGGTTGATTTTATATTAAGTATTATCGTTTATAATTGCGTAATTTTGCTGATTATCACCTGAAGTTTTCAATGGAGAATGGGTAGCGAATCGACATCATTTAGAGAAACCAGTGAGTATCTGAGAGATCTGCTTCGTCTCGGTTGGGAACCCTTCGTCACAATGAGCACCCAGTAGACCAGCAGTAGTGGAACCCAGGACCTTCTGGTTATCAGAGCAAGCTCGCTGACACTTCAGCCACTTGGATTAGAATTCCAGAATGTCTCATGAGTTTTGACCATTATCAGTTTTAATTTTTACATTTTGAACTCTAAGTATTTTTGAGAAATAAGTATTGCAACATTTTTTAAGCCTATATGATGATTAATCTGTTTATACTGTCAACAATAGTAGCATCGCTAATAATCTTCAATTTCTGTTATGTGTGATGCTGATAACTGTTAAAAAATGTGATTATGACTAATTGAGTTTTAGAGCAGAACTTTGCCTACAGGTACACCAGTTGAAGTTGCCACACTAGAAGTAGCTTTCAAAGGTGAACAAAAAAGAGAAATGGACTATAATGAGCAGATATATGAGAGAAAAAGAATGCTAACATGGAAGAACGTGACAGTTAGGTCACATCTGTGTTACTGAGAACATTTTTGAGTCATATAACCAACAGTATCCACCCATTTGTTCTTGGTATTCCTAGGACCCCAGCCACACAGTGTGCATCTCTTTACGCAACGGACTCAAGCCAATATAGTCAAAGATTTCGTAGAATGATGACAGTTTTTAGTATGACCACCGCGAATTCTTCTTCAACGCCAACCCTAAATGAGTTAACATTGCTCATTGAGATGACCAGTGGCTCGGTGTGCGTAGATGTAGTTTTATGACCCCACAGATTATCCTACTCTCCTAAATTAACACTCCATAATCTAACCATAATATTAAAGTGGGAGACAGGACATAAAGATCTGTGATCAAAGACAGCCAACCTTTTGATACCTTCCACTTTCAATAGCAATGTTTCACATTCATAAAAAAAAGAATTAAGCGAACTTCTGCGCGCAGTACACACTTCCATTGATGAATAGCTAACCAGAGACAGACGTTAGGTTGCATCCTTTTGAAGGTGATTCACCTATGAACCTATGAGCTGTTTTATTTCCACTTAAAAGGAGAACACTATTGACGGTGTTTCTGATAGTGTATTCATTAACTAAGATATAAAAATATGTAAAAACTAAATGTACATTCAACCATTTGGCGTGTTCTGAAAGTTTACAAAGATTCCATTCTAAAGATAATTATAATTACTACTGATTACCAAGATAATAGGAAACAAACAGGTAAACAAACAAAATAATAATAGGAGACTTACCATATCATATACTGAAACACGATATAACTTTGGTAAGTCTAAAATTTGTAGAATTATACTTTCAAGGGAGACGACAATAATCGATGACAAAGTGCACTGAAAAGAGAAAGAATACCGTTGTAGAAACAAAATTAGAAGAGAGACACAGAATTTAGGTCGTGAATTTTGTCAGAAATAGAGAAATTTTATGAAACAACACAGTTAGCATGAAAAATATTTTCAATTTTCTACTGCAGACTAACTAGCAGGATACTTTTACGCACACTGGACATATATACATAGTATTGCTTCTACAGTGGTGGTGAAATGAGATAACATGTTATTTCATTTATTTTCATAATCAATACTGCCCATTCACTGCCTTCCGAATGTATGTTTCCATTTATGTGATCGCCGACAATGATGGGATATGGAGAAGAACTTCGTGACCAGTAGGACACAGCAGGTCAGGTAGGAGGACAAATACTCGTCGGGGATGACATTCGCTAGTGGTTGTGACATATTATGAACTGGCAGAAGTTGGAATTCATGGACCGTTGGATCCGGCACCAGTGGCTTAATGGTCTACGAGTTTGCTTACCTTATAACTGGAAGGTCCTGGGATCGAGCCTCAATGGATGCGTAATGCTGAAGAGTCCCAAACTAGGATGAAACAACTGTCCAGTAACCCCAGGTTTTCCAATGCATCTCTAGCCGATGTCAGTTCATGATGAACTCCTGAAACTTATTATTATTTTATTCCTTTGCGTCGTGAGAAGAACACAGGGCCTCAAGCTTCAGATTTTTGAAGTTTTAGGAGAGGGGTTAGAACTCCAGACCACTTGAGTGGTTGGCGAAGGTCATACCGCTCAATCACTGATGTCTATATATTGCATACGCAGGTAGTATTACGAAAACTCCTTTGTCATTATTTTGAAAAAAGTGTTAGCATTAGTATTGTCAACTTCCTTCAGATAGATTACTAAGAGCGCAGATTTGTTTTGTACTTCATCACGACTATGTCTTTGATGAATAATAACCAGAAGATATCATTAGCTTTTTGATTGTCGTTTGGTTGCTGGTGACTATAAGTGAAATCCACAATGAGCATTTCATCCCCTTTTTGGGGCTTCGTCGGAATGATGTACTTGCATCCTAATGACTGATGGTTTACCCGATGAGATGAGAACCTGGAGCATTGTGAACTTCATTGGTTGCCACCATTGAACGAATAACCTCAAGGCATCGTTGACACGTGCGTACAGGTAGCGAACGTGTTAAAATAGGCCAATCACTTCAACAAACTGGTCGAAGAAGCAGCAAAGACAGGACTCCAGGTGAACATAGACAAGACGGAGGTTATGAAAATAACCAACCAACAACAACAACAACAGCAGCAGCAACATCCACCGCCAATCACCATCAACGGGAGGGATTTGAAAGAGGTTACTTCAGTCACTTATCTAGGGAGCATTGTCTCAACTACAGGAGGAACGGACGAGGATGTCAAATCGAGACGAGAATCGGGAAGGCGAGAAACACATTCATCAACCTGAAACCAATCTGGAAATCTTCGTCAATCAGCCTGCATCAACAACAAAATTTGCATTTTCAATACAAACGTCAAGTCAGTCAGTCCTTCTATACGGATCAGAAACTTGGCCGGTCACAAAGAATATTTCCAACAGCCTGTTGCAGACCTTTATCAACAGCTGTCTTCGTTCTATACCCAAGATCAGATGGCCGGAAAGAAGCACCAACAAGAAATTATGGGAACAAACAAAACCAATCGCCCAACAAATATGCAGGAGAAAGTGGAGATGGATTGGACACTCGCTGAGGAGGCCGCTGGGTGACATCGCACGTCAGGCCATAGCTCGAGTGGAACGCGAAAGGGAAGCGGCGAGTGGGACGTCCAAGGGTGACATGGAAGAGATAGTGTGAAGAGGAGTTGAAACAGCATGGACTAACATGGATGCAAGTGAAAAGTACGGCTGAAGACAGAAGCAAGTGGAGAAGTGCAGTTGAAGCCCTATGTTCCACTAGGAACCCAAGGGAACAATAATAATAATAATAATTTCAGTGGCTGGATGGTTAACGGGCCCGCCTAGTAACTTGAAGGTTTTGGGAACCATCCTCAGGGCTGATGGAAAGTCCTGAACAAGGATGAAATAGCTATATAATGCACTATGGTTCGCTAACTGATGTCAGTCATCTAACCTGAAACAAATCGAATCCTTGCAAAATAATAATAAGAATTTGGTAGAATTCTGATTTTTTAGTTTCATAGTAGAGCAATATTTAATGGATTTTAACGCAATCCAAACATTCATACTCTGATGTAAAGATTCAACTTGAAAAGCCACTTTCATTCAGTAGTAGGATAATGCCATTCCATCTCTAATAACTAAGTGAAACCAACTGTCACATTTCGTTACGGAACATCATCAGTTAGAGATAACATTGAAAACGACGGAGCATCTATTTCGTCCCCGTTTGGGATCTTTTTACCAGTGCACACCCACAACGTGACAAAATCTAAAAATCGAACACCAGCTCATCGATACCTGGTGGATAGGTGTCCTGAAGCTGTAATGAGAAGCCGTAACCACTGGGATTCATCATGTCCAAAGTGAATTCGATGCTCATCGAAGGCACTGGTTAAGGATAGTGCTATGTCAAGAATTGATGAAGTTAAGGGTCAAGGGTCACTGGAATCCCGACTCAAAAGGGCTAGATGGTCAACTGGTTTGGTCTGGCAAACTAAAGGTCTCAAGTTCGAACACTGTTGGGATTGTGGGTGGGCAGTGAGGAAGAGTACCCAGAAAATTGGATGAAACAACTGTTCAATGCTCCCTAGTTTTTTCAATGATTCCTTTAACTGATAAGGTTTCCTGACAGAATCTAATGATTTGAATTAAACTTTTTCAAAATAATAGATACTGAACGAAGAATATTCTTTTCAATTACTTCTTCATCAGGTTCTACCAGTTATATATACATAATGGTGAACGAATCAATTAGTGTTATTAACAACATTAATGTTGATTAAATAACACCGAATCGATAATAATAATAACAACAACAATGGATTACAGGTCAATAGCATCAACATAACAATGCACTGAAAATCAGAAATATTAGGAAAGATAATAATACAACTTCATAAAGTTATAATCTCCACTGAGGGCCAGGGGCAGTATTAATGGCTGGACTTGTTTCTTCCACACAGAGAGCACAAGTTGTTTAAGGTGAATCGTGATAGCCTCTACTTTTTAGAGTATGCGGTACCTCAATGTTTTTGGCAATTTACTTGGTACCCGGTAAATGATAGAGAAGGATTCTGGCCGATTTGGACCAGGTGGTCTAACATCGAACTGTAGATGATGGTTTTTACTACACCTAACGAGCATGAAAAACCAGGTCCTCAGAACAACCGGCAATATAACTCGCTCCAGAATCGCATTTGAATTAGTAGATACATTTAGAAGTGGCCAGTCTAGGTACTTCATCTTTCAATCTTGGAATCAACATCGGTCGTGTAAAAAACTGACTTTTAGTTTACCAGTTCTTTGAACAGATTTTTTTAACTTGTCAATAATAATTTCACTATGTGCGCCACTTTTGAATTGCAGTCGTATATATATATATATATATATATATATATATATATAAAGGCTTCTTATTTACAGATAGAGAATAATCCTTTTCTCCTTTCTTGATCACGTTTTTCTTAATGCACTTTTTTGAATAGCTATTTTCAATTAGGGTGTCATATAAAATCAAAATCCCCACAAATTTCATTGTCTTGAATAACTGAAATCAGATGAAACACTTACAGTTTCGAATAACACGACGATTTTCAAACAGAAATATCAGCATTATTTAATTTAATTTAGATTTTCCCATCGATCGATTACACCGAAGTGCTCTGTCTCAGATTAACACGTCGGCTCCTAGTGCAGATGCTCCGATGATGTATGGTCATTTAACTTGAGGTCAATCGGTGGATGGTGACTAGCAGTGTAATCCAGGATGCGCATTTCGTCCTATCCGAGACTCGTCAACTGGATGTGGTTGCACTAGACAACTTGGGCTAAGTGAATAACGGTTTGGCGTTTGAAACTAAAGGAACTGGGTTCGAACCTTGGTGGGAACACCATCACTCATTCGCTGGGTAGACTGGGTATATCCACCAAATAGGAAGAAATGCGCGTATCATGGATTCCACTGATAGTCACCACCAACCACCAATTGACTTCAAAAAATATCAGCAGCTTAACAGAAACATGGAAAAAGGATATAATCATACATTAATCATACAAATATTTATATCAATGATGATATATGAATGAACACATACCATTGGTACACTTTGTAAAAATTGTCCAACGAAAGTAACAACAAGTAATATAATAGAACAGGATATCAGACAAGCAACCTGTTGATTCAAATGAAATCATTACAAACAGAAGAATTAATTATGCAGTTAAGTGAAACATTTATTCATTTATTTATTTATTCAAAAATAGCAGAAACGTTTATTCTTACATACTCTAACACAGAGGTTCAGAAAAGACAGAAATTCAGTGAATTTTATTATCAACTGCTGTAGAGGTACGCCTTACTAAACAGTGCCAACATGCACGAAACTAGATCTAAGGCTTCCTGTCAATTGTCTCCATCCATTGAATAACAACAATTGACAGTGGACCGTGATGACGAGTCACAAAGCATCTTGACCACACTGAAAACTTGACTGTGGTAGAATTCAGTCGGCAGCAACGCAGAGGACTAGATGTATGACATCAGTTACTACTACCCTAGTGTCCAATCAAAGTATCTATTACAGTCTTCCACAGGAGGTCAGTCGCAAGCACAAATAGATTAGTGGTATTGTCTCTGACTGCAGTAGTGTGTAACATGGGTTCGAATCTCAGTGGGAATAGTGTGGAAGAACATTGGAACTAACTCGTTGAAAGTGATGTTCAAGGAGACGTGCACAACTTTTTTAGGATGAAAGGATAGACACGACAAGGAATGGCCCCCAACGGACGCCTAGCTGGAAGCTAATATAAGATAGGAGAGGAGGATGGTGAAAGAGAAGATAACTCAACGAAAACACGTACAACAGAAGGAGAAGCTGAGTTCAATGTGCACTGCGCTAAACAAAGCAGTGAGGAAGAGTGCTAGCAAAGACAAAAGACGATTATACGACACACTGGTTCGCAACTGAAACAGAACTGGCAGGCTGCAGGTAAAGGAGATTTGTGAACATTATATCAGATAATCTGGTCACATTCCGGGAAGAGATAAACTCAGATGATAAAACCAATAAAAGATGTTCAATGGAACCTAATTGCCAAGGAGGAGTAACAAATGAAAACAGTGGGTTGATAAATTTGAGCAACTCTGAATCGATCATCACCTGCAACCCACCTAGAAATACCACCAACAACACGCATAGAACTGTCTGCCGGTGGACATCAATCCTTCAAAGAATGCAGAAATCCTAAATACAATCGAGCTACTGCCTGCCTGTTGGGAAGGCAGCACAGTCAGACAGAATTCCCTCCGAAGCACTGAAAATGGACACAGAGACTGCTACAGATGTACTCACGCCATAATTGCAAAACGTTTGGGAAGAAGAAAAGCTGCTTATCGATTGAAAGAAAGGCTGACGACCTTGTCAAGCTAACAAAGAAGGGTGACTCATGCCTCAACAAACACTGACTGGCGTGGAATCATGCTCTTGTCCACGCCAAGTAAAATTGTAAGTCACATCATCCTGAAAAGAATAAAAGATGCCCTGGAAGCAGAACTCTGCCCCACCGGAACAAGCTGGATTCCAGAAACCCAACTCATGAGCTGAACAAATTGCAACTCTACGCATAAAATGGCAGTCAAACCTCTACGTACCTCAATTTCATCAACTTCTAGAAGGCCTCCGACAGACAGTGTTAACCGAGAAGTAATTTGAAAACTACTTTAACACTACGGTGTGCAATGCCCAAGTCTTTATCAAAACGAGTAACTCTCACCTCAGTAACAATTAGTCTTCTGATTTCACCGCTTTATTTGCCGTTCCTCCCACTTGACTTTTACATAACACTTAATTTTTTGATCTTTTCAATTCTACTCACTGCATTACATCGTCACACTTTCAGTCGACATTGTACACACCAAATTTTGATTTTCTAATCTTATGAGATCTAATCTGTTTATTTTATTATCTGTGGTCACACAGTTATTACTGAGTAATTATTAACACCCTCACAACAAATTTGTTCAATTTTTACGACAAATATCTATATGCATACTAATAATTTAAAACAGCCTTGTCATCCTTATGTTTGTTTCACTACGACCTTCTTACAACAATCCTTGCTGGAGGACTGAATCATGGTGATAGAAAAAGTGTATGCTAAAAGTGTATTAGTGTATTAGTTTTATTGGATGTTACAAGTTGTAAGCAGCTGATGAGAACCCACGAAATACAATGGATCCATACTGTTCTGCAAACCTATGATTGTTCTAACTCTGTTCAAATTTATCAAGGGAAATTAGTGTGTGACGCATATGGTAATCAGTACTAAAGAGTTTGTTTGTAGAAATTTGATTTCTTTCAAGATTTTCATCAAGAAGTGATGTCAACTCAGAGAACCATTGGAAACCAGAGATGAAGTTGCTGGACAGTTGTTTCGTCCCAGTTTGAAACTCATCATCAGTACGCATCCACCGAGTTTCAAACCTAAGGTGTCCCGGTCAGAAGGCAAGCTCGTAGACTATTTAGCCATCGGGATCCAACTCAATGGCCCATGAATTAGTATTTCAATTGAATACCTACCAGTAGGTTTAAAATGACATAACAAATAATTTGGAATAGACTACCTTCTCACCGTTTTTCCTATGCGGATTACACAATTGCGAATTGACAGAAGTAATAACCTTTATATCCTGTCCTAGTAGCTCAGTGGTCAATGAACTCGCCTCATGAACTGTAGACGGTAAGTTCGATCGTTGGAGGCGAGGCGAGGGGGATCATGGGTGAGCACTGTGCTGACGTTTCCCGACAAACCATGACAAAATAGCTGTTTAGTACTAATCCCTGGTTTTCTATAAGTCCCTAACTCATAACAATCCATGACCAAACTTGATAAACAATAACTATTTAAAGACGTATCGATTAAGTTACCATGTGATTTCTTATGGATAGAAAAGTAAAAATAAAGTAATAAAGCTTCAATATTTGCTAGGGATAATAATAAAACAAAATGTACTATAACATGTGTAACATGTCCAAAATGTATGATGTTCCAGTTTAACGCTAATGCTGATACACACTAAAATCGAATAACACAAACACACACATATATATATATATGTAGTGATAGTATTCTTCTGGTTTGATAACAAACTGACTTCTGTTGGAAAATTATTGGGAACCACAGTTGCAGTGATGGACAACTGTTTTCTCCTGGGTTTAGGACTCCAGCACTATGCACTCATGACCTCACCAGGGATCAGACCCAGAACCTTCTGGTTACAAGGCCAGCTGGTTGAAGATTCGAATTTGAGCATCATACAAACAAGTAATTTAATGGATAACTAACTCATCAGCGACGGATAAGACATAGAGATTTTCACTACTGACAAAACGATTAACTTTCATTTACATCTTCTATAGTTTGGTTTCTAATGGTTAGTTATGTTTCTACGAGTTGATCACGGATTGATATAAGAAAATTAATCTGATGCTCGCTAATGACTTGCTACAGGATAGGAGTTTCCTGCAGTTGCAGTGAGAAGTTGTGACCAGTGAGGTTCATCCAGATATCACGTGTGAGGATGGATGTCCCACCTACGACAATGGTTGGGGTCGCGCTAAATCACGAATTGGTATAAGTTAGAATTCATGCACTAGCCATCGAATCGGGTTCCAGTGGCTGAATGGTATACGAGCTGGCTTGACTTGTAGCCAGAAGGTCCTGGGTTCGAACCCCCTGTGGTGGGTGAGTACACCCGATGATTCCCAAACTAGGATGAAACAGCAGCTGTCTAGTACTCCATGCGGCTGGTTTTCAATGGTTCTCTAACTGATATCAACCCGTGACCAACTCATTTACATCATTAAACTCTAAAGTGATATTGGTGGGTGGTGACTAGCAGTGGAATCCAGGATGTGCATTCAGTACTATTTGGGACTCGCCAGTTAGTGGATATACCTGCATTCCCCATTGAGTGAGAGATGGTGTTCCCACTTATGCTGTAACCAAGCATCCATAGTTTCAAATGCCAAAGCGTTATCCGCTTGATCACTCGAGTCACGAGAGACACCTCTTGTGCAACGGATATTAGTAATTATTGAATTCAGTTTGGACTCGCCCACTGATTGACTGGACTGAAGTGCATGGCTTCAGGCTGAAATATCGACTCCTTGTGCGGACGTTTCGATGATGTCTGAGCATATATCTTGAAGTAATTTGGTGGATGCTTGTCAATCGATGGGGAATGTAGTACATCCAGTGGACGAAATGTTTCCAACAGGATGCTGAAGACTTTCATCAACACCTACCTTGGCTCGTTTCTTAAGATAGGGTTGCTGGTAAGCGTGTAGGAGAGACAAGAAACTCTGGCAGCGAAGCAACCAAGAACCTACTGTTCAACGAATATGCCGAAGGAAATAGAGATGGATTGGAAATACTCTGGGAAGACCATTGAATTACGTCAGAATTCAGGTCCTCTGAATGTATCCGAGTATGAAATTACGTGTTTGGCGTTTTAGGGCTGCAGAGGAGATGAAAGAGTATGCGCTACCTTAGGACTAGAGCAAACAGAGCGAAAAGGGTATATGCTGTCAAAGCCTTATGTTCCACTAGGAATACAAAGGAATAATAATCGTAATAACATACTGATATTGAATAACTGTTGTTAAGAGACCTATCACTACTCGATCAGCGTATTCTGTTTTGTATTAAAAACGCTATGTCAGAGTAGAGCTGTTGACGATGATCTAATTGAAAAGTAAATATTCTTTGGCTTACCGCTGTCAATTTTCACAAGTTAAATAAGCAACTAAAACATTGAAAACCCATGTGTTTTTAATAGAACAATCCATCATTTTGAAAGAGAAACGAAAATTTACTGAATCATATTAAACTTCTTAGTAAGATTATGAGTTTGGTGTGTTTTTGGCGCAGTTTACTTATGCGTGTTATTTTTTTAAAAAAAACTCTACATTCTAACTACAAAAGACAATAATTTCGGCAAACAAAAGTCTACCTTTTTTGTTTTCCATTCCTTGATTTCGCGGGGGAATACATGACATCGAGATTCAAACTTTGAAGTTTCGCTAAAGATGTTGTTGCCTCTACGAAGTAAGGTCACTAACTACCCTACCTATGCCCAACCTTCTCTCTTTTACGAGCTTACTGCCAGCTAGGCGAGGTTCAGCAGTTAGTCAACCGAGGAGTGAACACTGACACCACCCCGCGTGAATGGCAAATATTTAACCATTAAACCACCTATGCTATCTCTAGTCTATCATGTTTATTTCTAAAAATAGACAAAGAATGTATTATCAATAAAGCAATAAAAGAAGATAGTACAAACAGCTAGTTGTAAATAAGACATAAGCAGATATATGCTAACCTGGGAGCACATTCCAACGCCATAAGCAACAGAGGAACGAGCTAAAGCACCAGAGGCTGGTTGACAGCGAAAGAATCCAGATATTATGTTGGCCATTCCCAGAGCAGTCAATTCCTTTAATAAAATAGTGAAGTAATACAGAGAAAGCAATAATGTACAAGTCAAGTTTGTTCTTAATGTATACTATGATTAATTTTTATTCTCATGGGTCCCACAGTGGGACACACGGCTTCCACAACTCATCTCAATTTCACTCTATCCTCTGAAATCTTATTTAGCTTGCACTAGGACTGAACATAAACTCTAAGTTCTCTCTCTCTCTCACCTGATTTCCTTCATGTCACCTTTCCTACTCAAAGTTCCATTCAATAGCTTGGCAAATGATGTCACGCAGTGCATATAATGGTCTCTTCAGCGCGTATGCTGACGATTGTCAACTAGCACAAAACCTAGGTCCAAGGCTTCCTGTGGCCGATTGCCTCCAACTATCTAACACCATCAAATCAATGTGCACCGTGATGGCTAGCTACCTAGAATGGTGGCCACATTGCAAACCTGACTGACAGAATTCAGTCTGCACTAAAGATAGGACTAGACACATTACACTGGTTACTGACTAGTTGTTAATCAAAAGTATCCAATACAGGAGGTCCTACAGGAGGCCAATCGCGAGCCCGAATAGCTCAGTGGTAGCGTCTCTGACTGTAGTGCTCACTGGGTGACGCACGTTCGAATCTCAGAAGGAACATGAGTTCCTTCAAGGCAGTTGCAGATACGCCTTGCTGGTTGACGAGTGCCGACTAGCACGAAACCTAGGTCCAAGGCTGCTTCCTTCTGATTGCCTCCAACTATCTAATATCATTTAGATTCCGTTCTGTATATTTGTTAGGCGATACATTCTTGGTTGATTTTCCTCCTGTCAAAGTCTCTTGTTGATTAGCTTTTCTGACTAGCCATCTGATTTTCAGAATGAAGCGATTATAGTATGAAGTACATTGGACTGTATACAAGCACTGAGGCACAGGTCCCGGTCTTATTCCAAATGCTGAGTGTAACAGTTCTCCACATCGATTTAAGAGTAATGAAGGTCTGTCGGGCTTTTCCGACAATGACTGGCTTTGACTTCCTCATCTATGCCATTGACTGCAGTCTAAATATTTCATCAATAAGTCAGTACCACAAATTATAGGTCTCAGAAGTTAGTTGAACTATAATCACAGTATGAAAAACAATCACTGTGGAATATTTGCGTCCTCTAATGTACAATCGTAAGCAGTCACAGCAAAGGTGGAAAGTCTCGCCTTAAAGCTAAAACTCAATCAGCTCACGCTGGTCTTCACTTCCCAGTTTGTCGTGTGCATCGTTTTTTGCGCAATGGTAACTACACTGAACGCGTCAGTGCTGGAACCCCCGTCCACTTTAGCAGTTGTTCTCGAGTACCTGGCCGCTGGAGTGCTTTTTTTGGCTGGCAATACCGCAAGTGACAACAAGAAGACCAGCATGTATCATCCATCGTCACTTGAGATTGGCCATCCACAATGATGAGGAATTAAAAACACTGCTCAGTGGTGTGACCATCGCTTAAGGGTGTTGTCCAAAGAGGATTACATAATATTACAAATATGAACGATAGCCACACCGAATTTACTTAGGAATATCAACAAGATATTCAAGAGACACTCAGGCACTATAAATACTTTAAACATTTTAACAGATAACAGCAAATCATTGTGGAAAAGAATCTCCGACACAATAAAGAAGATCAAATGTGTCTCTCTCAACACCATACAGAATAGTAGAAGGCACCAATACACCGTAGTTAGACTAACCTGAGTATATCCGACATCATAACCCTCTTTTGTAGCGTATAATTTCACCAATGAAATTGTTGTCGCTAATGCAACAAAGGAAATAATCACTGAATCCATTAAAACTTCTGGTATCAACTTGACATCAGGAACAATTGGCGATGGTAGACTAATGGGCGAAAAGGAAGAATAACATGAAAAGAAAAATTGTGAGAATGTGCAAACTAAGAGGAATAGTTTTTCAATGTAGATTTATTACACCTTATCGCGTACTAATTGATTATAAACTAAGCTGGAAACCACTTAATGTAAATATCGAAGTCTGTAGATCTCGTGGCAATCCATTTCACTCCTCCTAACCTCATGAAAGTTTTCACTTTTCGACCTCCTCGAAACGGAGAATTACTCATAAAAGCACGAAAAATTATATCCTTTAGGGATTTTTAGTGTAAGTGACACAGTCTAATAAATGATGACTGACTGGTTTCAACGTGGAAATTTGCACCGATGTGCAGCAGTTCGAGTCGCCACATTTCACTTAGCACACAAAACAAGAGAAGAAAATTAAAAGAAATGCCAAATAGAGACATTAAACAGAGATATGAGATAAACGAATAGTAATAACGAAGAAGAAGATAGTTTCATTGGAAATTATAAGTCACAAGGAGTGGATGCATTTGAGCCAGCCATCACCGAGAACGGTTTTGAGCCATATCATCAACTGTCTCCAACCTTCATTGGTTTTTACCGTCCCGAGGACCCCAACCAGACAGAAATCTACACCTTCCTACGTTGCTGGCTTAAACCAACTGTTGTGGATTTTATTGACTCATGCCATGTTTTGTTTTGACCACCAATAGATAGCTCTTTCCCGACCTCATCGATCCAATGTTAGCTAATGTTGCCCGCAGAGGAAGGCGATAGCTAGGAATACGTAACACATGTCCTAACCATCTCAGTTGATTTAGCTTGACAGCCTCGTCGATTGATGATTTCCCCTCCTTACCTAATACTCAACGGCTAACCTTAATATTGCTCATCCTAGTATGCCACCTCACACGGGAAATATAACGGAGACATCTATGATCAAAGACGGCTAGCCTTTTCATATCTTCCACTTTCAATAGCCACGTCTCAGAGCCGTGAAACAATAGCTGCGCACTGCTAAAGTCCCCACAAACTATGACGAAACAGCTGTCTAGTGCAATCCATGGTTTTTAATGACTCCCTAAGTGACATTAATCCATAGTCAAAGTAACACTTGAAAAATGAAGTAACCATCCGTCATTAGTTGGTAGTAATCAGACAGTAGTGCGTCGGTGGCACAGCGGTAGAATGCTCTCCAACCACGTATGTGGTCCGAGGTTCGATCCCTGGCCACTGACGCACTCCTTTACCTTGCCAAACCAGTAATAAGACTGGTAGAGGAGGAAGGTTGGGCATCAGGCTAGCCGACCCCATCCCATAAAAATAAACACCACCACTGCTACAGAAACTTTAAGCTTCTAGGTTGAAACTCTGTGTTCCACTGGGAACGTAAATGAACAATAAAATCAGACGGTTTGTCTCTGTCATCGATTAGACTGAATTTGTCAGTCAGTCTTTAATGTACATATAGTCATGATATAGTTAAACAGTAGATTAAACTGAGATAATTCTACAGAAGAGGTACTGTAAACGACCAAGCAGATCTATAGACTTGTCAAAGGCTCTCTACGTCTTCTCTTACAGTCTTTTAAACTTTCTTTATTCAACTTGATTAGTGATGAATAAGTCTCAATATACTGAAGAATGGCGATTTATATGTATGTGGAAAAAAATCGGAAAACGTTATCATGAAACTTACCCAACTGGAATTTTGCCAACAATAGCGACACCATATTTTTCATTCAATGAACAAAACTCTGATATAATGGTACAGACAGCAAGCTAGAGAAATGACAATAAACAAAATGGTTAAATCAGTATGGTCAAGACAGTAGAAAGCAGTTCTTCTCTATCTGTTAACAAGAAGCTTCCATGTTATATGAGATTGCAATTCACAGATGGAATAATAACCGACAAGTTGAAAACATTAGTCCGACAATTTTCTTCTGTTACCAGTGTCCTGCAACTCAAGTCCTGAGATCACGCTCGTTGACCACTCAGAAACTTAAGCCGGAATTTAATGACTCATAACCTGGGGGACCCGGACTGCATTACTGGTGGGGTGATGGATGAGCACAGCTGGGGAGTCCCAAGCTAGGACGAAAAAGCTGTTCAGTACTCTTTGACTGATGTCAGCTAGTGATGAAATCTTACAGCTGAAAATAATTCTTTTCAACGACTTTGCTGTCAAGCTGAACAGTCGTATTCATATTACAGAAGAAGGCAGCAAGTTGCCCAGTCAGTGTGCATGTGATAACAGCAAAGATAATTAATATGATTTATGTGGGCGGAAAGTTGAAGTGGGTGAATTATAAAATTTTGAAAGATTACTAAATAGGTGAATTGGTAATAAGAGTTCTAAAGTACCTCAAGTTGTGTCAAAAATTAAAAGAAACATTGGCGGTGAAGATAAAATGAAGTGGAATTGTGGCTCGTACTACTGATAAGATTTATCAGTAGTATACAAAGAGATGTTCATCGGCATAAAAAAACAGGAAGATAGATTTGATGTCAGAGAAAGTAGATGATATAGCGTTGTGGAGATACATGGGAGACGTGAAAGGAACAGAAAGAAACACAAACAAAGGAAGACCAGAAGTAGCGCAACACGGAAGATCTGTGCAAATGGTGCGTTGAAGATAAGGCGTGCATAATTTGTCTATATAGAGATTTTCTATTATTTGGTTTGTAAGGGTTAGTTTTGTTTTTACGAATTGATCACGGATTGATATCAGTTAGAGAACCATAGGAAACCAGCTGGGACTACTGGACAGCTGTTTCATCCTAGTATGGGAATCATCGGCAGTACTCACCCACCTAAGGGGTTCGAATCCAGGACCTTCTGGTTACAAGTCAAGCTGGCTCGTATACCATTCAGCCATCGGAACCCGATTCCTCGATGGCCAGCCCATGAATTCTAACTTCTACCAATTCGTGATTTAGCGCGACCCCAACCAATGTCGTTGGTGGGACATCCATCCTCACATGTGACATCTGGATGGGCCTCACTGGTCACGAATTCTCACTAGAACTCCAGGAAACTCCATCCTGTAGCAAGTCACTAGCGAGTATCAAATTAATTTTCCTTAGTTTGGTTTGTAAGGGTTAGTTTTGTTTTTACAAGTTGATCAAGGATTGATATCAGTTAGAGAACCACTGGAAAACCAGGGAGTACTGGATATATAGAGATACCAAATTGTGAATTAACATCGCTTTATCAAGCCATCGTCTTGTACCGTTTCAAAATGAATTTAACCGATACACGAAGGTAAAGAAAGAGGTTTCAGAAAACTTGCTTAAATGCACAATAAACTACATGGGGATGAGTGACCTGACTCCAAAAGGTGACTCACAGGTACTCCACACCGTACAGGGTGACTTAAAACCAGCAGTCAAATACTTTGTAGACAGTTGCCGTCTTTTAATTCCCACCAAGCTATAACTCTTTCCAGTCTAATAGCTCGGTATGCATAGCGTATATCTTAATTCACTGAATCGTCTAGGTTCCCCCCACCCCCCTTTCCTTAACACTGACTATGACTAACCAGCTAACACGATCAACTGAACTATGATTCAAAATCTGGATCTTCTACTGAATAAAAGCCCCTAAACATCTAGGCTTCTACAAAGACACAAATATCGATTAGTCTTGGTTACAGTTTGCAAATACAAATCACATTAATTGAAAGCATCACTTAGTTGGGTGGCATAAATTTTTATACTAATAAACATTGACGCAATGACATGAAATGCTCTTTCTGTGACAGCAGTTAATTGTTTGTTTTTTTATGAGGAAAGAAAAGAAGTAATTCATCATTTTTACTTTTCTGGAAGCATTCAAAGAGCAGTGTCAATATTCTACAAGCGCTGTGCAACTGAAAAGAAAAGAAATCCACGCATAGAAGAGGTGTGGTAGTGAAACCACCCTTTCTTTTCTTTTCTCAGCAGATAATTTGTCAGTCATGTGATGAACAGAGATCTACTCAATACGTATACCTATACATGATATAAATATTATAAAAGTATCATATTTAGAAGCAAAATCATCAGATAACTTCATTCCGAAACAACGACTTTTCATTAAAACAAAAAATATGCCACAACACACGTGATTTTCTAATAAATACTTAGATATTAGACAGAGTATCAAGTTTAACTTTTTGCAGAATTGAAGCGTTCGCTTTAATATTTTCTATTCAACAAATTAATAGTTTGAGCAATTGTTAGAATATTTAATTAAATTTTAGATTTCACGGGTCGATTGATTGAATCGAAGTGCTCGGTCTCAGGTTGACATGTCGGCTTGCAGTGCAGATGCTACGATGATATCTGATTATTTAACTGGATTTAAATTGGTGAATGGTGACTGGCAGTGGAATCCAGGATAAAGCGCGTTTCGTCCTATTTGGGACTCGTGGTCAACTGGATGTACCTGCATTCCACAGTGAGTGATGATGCCTCCACCGAGGATCGAACCCAAATAGGACGAAATGCGCATCCTGGATTCCACTGCTAGTCACCATTCACCAAATAAAACTTCTAATTGTTAGAATAATCTAGAGACAGCAATTTTCCATCAGTGCCTGCCTTGACTTGGTATTGAAGATCGGATGGCCGACTAGAAAGGGATAAACTATAAGGAACTCTTGCAGGTAACAAACTAATCAAGAACCTATTGCCCAACAATTAGATAGAAGGGAATGGGGATGGATCAGATACGCGCCGGAGAGATCGTTGAGTCATATTAAAGAAAAGGTGTTCAGCGAAGAATTACTCTTTTCGGCGATATCATTCTCAAGCTGTACAATCGCGCATATATATAGTTAATTCTCTTAGCAATAAAATGAATTTACTATTATTATTGTATCTTTTAATTCCTAGAGGAACATAGGGCTTCAGCCGTGCGTCTCCACTGAGTTCGGTTCACTGCTAGAGTCTTCATCTGTCTCCATGTCTGCCCACACGTTTTCATCTCCTCTTCACATGACTTCCTCCAAGTCACCGAGCCTCTCTCGGGGCACCAATCTTTGGATATAATATTGTATACCAGTCATACCTATGACTATCTATTTGCCACTCTGTGCTTGTTTAACACTAACTAATACCTATAATTGTATAAATATTGACGGATTTACATGTTCAAGTTGGCTCAAGTCAATGAGTCTATGATTTTGGTATCATTTTGGTTAAGTGTGATTGATTGTGATATTATTATTGTTGTTGCCACTTGTTACCCTTCGTGTTGTGAATTATTTTCCCGTACTGATGTTGTTCTGCTTGTTTTATTCTCTGTTTTCTTGGTTTTAAGGGGAGCAACCCACAAGGTCGCTTCTCTCTAAATTATAATTTAATATAACAATCCCCCCTTCCCAGGCGTGAGGCTAGCAACCCCATCCTGTAAACAAGCCTGCTACAGAAACTTCAGCACGATGAACCTCCTCGAGCCAAATAAAATGAATACTTCAAAGATTTGTCATTTAATTTGTAAATTTTAGATAGCAAACTTCGCTAATCGGTTAAAAACTAAAGTAAGATCAAATAAGCAAGTTGAGTGACGTAATCTAACTGACGAGGTTGAGTAGAGCTCAACTAAGATTAAAACAGAACAAAAGTCAAGTCAACAACAGTAGTAATAAGTGGTAGAGATTTAATAAGAGGTGGGAGAAGAAAATATTTTACAATCAAGAAACAAACAAGCAAGAAAAAGACGAAACAAAATTACGTAATAGGTGTTAACATAAGTCAGGTCTACAGAAGATTTAATGACTAAACAAACTTCTTCTGGATGCGGAGTTCCGGTTTTGATATGTGAATTGCTATTGCGTCTGAGCTTTGAAGAAGTTTGATTCGTACTCGTTTAGCAATATTCCTATGTATTCTGCAGATGACTTTGAAGTTACTTTGTGGGTTTTCTTGGTGTTTCGATTCGATCAAGTGTTCCAGAAAAGAGCTGAGGGGGGGACCTTTTTTCTCCTCTATAAAACCATAACTGTGGGTAATTTTTCAATGATACGTTTGGATAGAAAACGCTGGGTACAGCCGACATACCTAGCTCCACACAAACAGGTAAATTAGTAGATGCACACTGATGAGTATATGTGTAAAACTTGGGCACTGTGGCAGTAAGTAATTCCATATTAGTTTGTTTATTTGATATATCACACAGTGAAACAGTATTATTTACTGGATGACGTTTCGAACAAAATTTATTGTTCATAATCATATGGATTTGATAATAATACTGTTTCACTGTGTGATATATCAAATAAACAAACTAATATGGAATTGCACACTGATGAGACTGGCCAGCGGCGGTAGCTTTTTCTTTACGTTTATGCCAGTCACTGGTTTCGTAGAGAAGATTGGTCAGAATTCAGCAGTGAATAAGGTTTTCATCAGTAAACGGAACAGGCAGTTTCTCAGTATTTCTGCCAATGAACTGAGCCTACGAGATATTCTGCGGCTACATGTGTCTCCAAGGGTCAACTTTCTTTTCGGCGAGTGCCTGCCGGAGTATATACGCACACATCAACGCGGTTTCTAGTCAAAGATGTCGTCCTAAATTGTCCACCAACAACCTGGTGTAAAACTTCAAACTGAGTCACTGTGGTGAGCTCGCGAGTACCATATACCTAGCTCCACACTAACAGGTGAATTGATAAACACACATAGAGTTGGTCAACAGCGGGATCTTGTCCTTCAGGTAATTGAACAGCAATGGTCGACCAGTAAAGGCTATTCTGAGAGATGCAGCAGGGAATTTTCTTCTCGGGGACTGTGATATCCTTCGTTTCATGATACCGGAGCTAAGTCCCCCTTGAATTCCAAGCTCATGTAAAGTAATTTCTTGGGTACGGTTGATAATCACGTGTTTTAGGATTTGAATGTATATTCTTATCTATAAAACGTGGTGCAAATCCATTTTCTATTAGGTCGTTCGACTCGAGTTTTGTCCAAGAGGGTGCAAGAAGACCATCCTGCACGGTTACGAAAAGGTGGAAGTGGAGCAATAAGAAGCGCGATCATTGGACATCTGGTCGATAATTATCACCCTATCTCTATAGCCTCCGCCTTCAAAGTCATCTACAAGGCAAAGAGTAATTTACCGAAATCCCTATGTACCCGACTCATCTGTATTGCTGGAGCTTTGGCTATCGAGTCAGAAAAGCCAGATCTCTGTATACAGATAAAGTTCGTTCAATCCCTCCAACTTTCATGGTATTAATTCCTCTATGCTAAAGTATGGTAATCCCCAATCATATTTTAGCTCCACCAATTTTTCATTTTTTTCATTTTTGTCTATTCAATTTGTATACTCTTCCTTATTAAGTCAATTGCTACTATTACTACTCTCACTTTTAACTGTCCCCGGTATTATTTTACTTGTTCCATTTGTCATTCTAAATCAATTCCTTTAACAATATTAAATTCTATGCTATTAAATTTCACACAATATTACGTAACGTTTTTATTTTATTCGATTTGTCTACTAATCTTATAATTGCACAACCTTTTTTCAAGTTCTGTCCATCCTATGTATTATTCTAAATATATATAAGACAAAATGTGAGAACGTGTGACTAAAATGATGCGATTATGAGAGGCAATAAATAGTGCTCGAAACGTCATCCACTTGGTAATACTGAATCACTGTGTGATATTCAAAATAAACCTACCTAATATGAGATTTAATGAAGATAATAATTCTCAACTTGTTATGAAAGTTCGTGGGTGTCATAAACATTAGCCACAAGAGGTATAGAAAGAAACCAAAATAGTAGAGGATTAGGAAAGCAGTTGCGTTATATTTGAAACAGTTTTCACCGAAAACAGGTAGGTATGAAGATGACGTCTCTGACTGCACAACTGGACGACCCGGGGTCCTATCCCAGCTCCTTCAAGATTGCGGATACAACTTGCTGACTGGTGAATGCTAACAAGCACGAAACCCAGGTCCAAGGCTTCCTGCCGACCGTCTCCAACCATCTAACAACAATTCACACGACTCTGTATATCAAGGATTGGTGAAAATTCAAATCCATAGGTCTTTGGATTCCTTACCAGTAGCTGAAAGGCCATCTTGTAAGATGAAAGTCCTGTGTTTGACCCTCTGATGTATTAATCGAGGCTTACTCCCGAAGAGTCGCAATCCAGGACGAAACAGTTCTTCAATACTCCTTGACTTTCAAAGGTTCTCTAAGTAATGTCATTTGGTGATCTAACTTTCAACTCGAATAAGTGGACATAATTTACAACTGCAATATTTGCATACTTATCATGAGAAGTGAAAAAGTTTCGTTTCAGAGAAATCATTTATTTTAAAACAGTCAGTTTAAGGTGACAGTGGAAAAATGCCTTGGTCATTTGCATACTGATCTTTTTTCTTATTTCTTTGTGTTCCGACATAGAGCTTCAAGCTAAAGCTTTGAAGTTTCGGTAGCAGTTGTTTCATTCTTATGGTGTTAAGTTGTTAGTTTCACGCCTAACTTTATAACCAACTAAGAGAAATTTGTGAGTGCATCGGCCAGGAATCGAACCCTGGACCACGTGAGTGGCTGGCGAGCATTCTACTTCTGTGCCACCGACGCATTCATCTTCCGTCACAATCAATGCTAATCAGTTCTTTGCATTTGTTCAAATGATCCTCAACAGAAACAACTCACATAACTACACTGACAAGTAAATCATATCAAATACTGTCAGGTGTGGAGAGGAAACAAACATTCCTAGAGGTGAGCTTTTCTTCAGGAAAACTAAACTTACTTAATGCGTTCTTTTAGTGTGAGCATGTCATTAAAATTGCCAGTCATATACCATCATGTGATGAAGTGAAATGTTGCCTGACAACCCGGTGCAGTTCCGTACTGTTGACTAGGAGCTAGACGAATTGTGTAACAGAGCTAGTGATACTTACTACCTAACTGCCGAAACCTCAGTAGGTGAAACGCGGTTTGACTGATTGGAAGTCGAGCCTCTAGACAAATAAGCCCCAGACTGTGTGATGAAGTACCCGTTAGATACTTTAAATCGAGGAAAACACCCATCAGGACATTACAGAGAAAAGAACAAGAAGTTGAGCGAAGAGATATCTTTTCAGCAGATTCATTCTGAAAAGCAGCTGTGCAATCGCATTTATATGCATAAGTTTATATAGATACAATTATTAGTTAATTCCACATTGATCTAATCCACAATGCTCAAACTTTTTACTGATATTAATCCACATAATAACTTGTTATGAAAGTGCGAAGGTATAAGTACAGATTACAAGGGGTTCGGAAACAAAATTACACAGAACTAGAAAGGAGGCACTGGTTCAATCAGAAGCACCATAATTGAACACCACGTCAGCCAACACCTGTCACAGCATCTCAACTCACTCATCCAACATTCAGAGTCATTGACAAAGTAGACAAAAATCTGCCACAGACGGTGTGTTCCCAACTGCTGTTGAAGCCCTCGTCATATGCATCTGAAAGCCGGAGCTGTATGTTTAAAGGAAACTAGCTCAATCTCTACACATTTCATTCCCTTCACTATTTTTCATTTCAGTTATAAAAACTATTATTATTCCAATTTGTTAGCATACTCATCCCATTCACACCTGTATTAGTTAAAAAAAACTATTTTCTAATTCTATGTGTATTTTTTTGTAAACCCCTTGTATAGTCTATATTCACACCTTCGAACTTTCATATCAAGTTGAAAATTGGGCACTTGGGCACTTTCGTAGAGCAAAATCCCACTATGGATAAAATTCAATTTGACAAAGTCATACACTGTTATTGAGTAATATTTACTGATGACCACGTTTCCAGCACAAAACTATTGCTGCTCATAATCATATCAAGGCACCGCTCACACAACCCTTTTTGCTTCATTTATATACATGAGTAAAAACTGACTAGACATTTGAATAAAATCAATATAAGATAACGTACATTTAGGAATAATATTAGTGTTATCAGTCAAATACAATCAGATGGGAAATAAGTTGTTTTTATAATAAAAAATAAGTAACTTGTTAGAATGTTATAATGAGAATTGAATGCATTTCAACATTATTGATTATCCTCCGATTTGACTGGTAGTAATGTCTTTCATATCTCTGATATTTGTGTTGAATCACTTCTACTGAATGTGTTCGGTGTAGACTCGATGAACCAGGCAGGATTCAGTAATCAGTGTCTCCATCTCCCCACCTACCTATATTACTTTTTAGAATTTTGACTCTGTTCCACCATATTTTGTGGTTATGTGTTAATGCATGCAGTGCAATCGCTGAGCTTTTTGCTAAATTACTTATCAATTATTCTAACCTTTACTAAATTCTTATGTTCTGATAATCTGACTACCCCAGGTCCACTAGTTTCACCTATGTAGTTGACTTAACTCACAGTCATTGCAAGGTATTCTGTAAATTATATTTTGTCTAATTGGGCTAGCCGGGTCCTGTAGTCTACAGAGCTTGTCCTGCCTCAGTGAGTTTGTAGGTTTGAATACTACCCTAATTCCTTTACTCATGTATATAAATGAAGCGAGAAAGTTGAGTGAGCGGTGCCTTGATATGATTCCGAGCAGCAATAAATTCTGCTCGAAGCATTGTCATCAGTAAATAGCACTGTATAACAGTTCAATCACCTTTATTCTCTTTAGTTATAATGTGGAGTTAAATAATAATTGTATCTATGTACACTTAGTTAATATAAAGCCACTGGGATACGATTCAATCGCCAGCCCATGAATTCTAACTCCTATGAATTCATGATTGTGACTCGACTACCAACCAATGTTACACAGGTGGGAATTCCATTCTCACTGCCAACTGGATGAACCGTACTGGTCATGACTTCTCACGAGACCTCGAGGCAACTTCGTACTGTAGGCAGTCATTAGCACTCATAAGGTTAGTTTTGAAGAATTCGTTTGTAGGGATTGTATATTTGCTTCAGTCTAGACCACGGAGTGGTATCAGTCACAGAGCCATTGAAGACCAGTGCTGGAGTAATGGATAGAGGTACGCATCCGATGGGTTTCGAGCCCAGGACCTTCCCGTTACAAGGCAAACTCGTATCAGGTCCCGGTGACTGAGTGGTGTATGAGCTTGACTTGTCACTGGAAGGTCCTGGATTCGAACTTCCTATGATGGGTGCGCACTGCCTTTGATTCCCATACTAGGATGAAACAGCTGTCCAGTACTCCCTGGTTTTCAATGGTTCTCTAACTGATATCAATCCGTGATCAACTCGTAAAAAACAAAACTAACCCTTACAAACCAAACTACAGAAAAAAGATTCATAAAATTTGAAGGCATATCAATTATACTGTTAAATAGGTATTTGTTTTTGTTTTTTTTTAAAAATAAACTTACTACAATCAATTCAATTGGTATTGCAAAGCGTATTTTCGCAGTAACTCTAGGATTGATAAAATGTCTGAATATCCAAATAGTTATAATACATATACAAGACATTAATAGTGTGGCTAAATTAGTTTTGCTGACCACTTTGACAAAGTTGATCAATATCTATAGACGGCAGAAATGAAGCAAAAGAAGAAGAAGAAGAAGAAAGGCGTAATTAACTTACAGTTTTAGACATACGTTTGAATTGGAGAAAGAATGTCTATACAATGTACTGACCGATAAAGTGAGCAAAAATGGACTATCGGTTTAGAAGACAGATAAGCTCATAGTTTGTTGGTATTATATGGTTGGAGGCAATCGGAAGGAAGCCTTGGACCTAGGTTTCGTGCTAGTTGGCAGTCATCAGTCAGCAAGGCGTATCTGCAACCTTGAGGGAACTCATGTCCCTTCTGAGATTTGAACCTGCGTCACCCAGTGAGCACTGTAGTCAGAGACGTTACCACTGAGCTATTCAGGCTCGCGACTGACCTCCTGTAGAACTGTAGTGGGTATTTTGATTGGACACTTGTCAGTAACTAGTGTAATGTGTCTAGTTCTGTCTTCGCTGCAAACTGAATTCTATCAGTCAAGCTTGCTATGTGGCCACCATGCTAGGTGGCTCACCATTACAGTGCACTGTGAATTGTTGGTATAACGTCTCTGACTGCAGCACTGGGTGACGCGGGTTCGAATCTCAGAAGGGACATCAGTTCCTTCAAGCCTGCAGATACGCCTTGCTGAGGAGTGCCAACTAGCACGAAACCTAGGTCCAAGGTTTCCTGGCGATTGCTTCCAACTATCTAATATCATCAAATCAGTGTGCATTGTGATGGCGAGCTACCTAGAATGGTGGCCACATTGCAAGCTTGACTGATAGAATTCAGTCTGCAGTGAAGATAGGACTAGACACATTACGCTAGCTTACTGACTAGTGTGCAATCAAAAATAAGCTCATAGTTTACTCCATGGACTCTGTCTATATGGAATGAGGGGAAATAAATTCTGGAAAACTTACCATGCAACTCAGTTCATATTTGTGGAAAGGATCTAAAAATATGTTCTATTATAAGCCTCAACATAATAAAAGTAATTGAGCAACATTCCATATTGTCTATCGATTTATATCTGAGTGTGGATACGTATTTATTGGGAAGAGTATTTGCTCTTTGAATGTGAAGGTGGAAGAACATTTATTCAAACAGCTCTGAAAACAATTCTACTCCTAGCCCGCATAAATCCAGACGCGAGACTGACATCCTTGTCTATTGCAAAACAAAATTATTTATATGAATCATCAGACTGATGCACAATATGCGAATCAGTCATCTCGATCGATGTAGCTTTATAACCTCATCGACTGACCCGCTCTCTTTACCTTAACACTCTACACCTAAACTTGATACTACTCACCATGGTAAAGCATTTAACACAGGAAATAGAACGCAAGTTCTTGTGGTCAAAGACAACTAACCTTTTTTCATATGTATTCTAATTTTAATGACCATGCCGCATAGCCATAAGGGAAGACAGAGCAAACAACCATTATCCTCTTTACTCTTTAAAAATCCCTCAATATATTCTTTATTCCATATAAGCTTTCATTTTTTTTTTTCATTTCGCACATAAATCAAATTGATAGCTAAATGTATGGTCAGAATGTTAGAAATGTATGGCACAAATTCATTAGATTTTCGAATAAAAACAGATAATATACGTTTGTTATGTCATATGGCGGAAGGAATGCTCTAATTAGAGGACAAACTTACCTTCAGCAATACGTCGTACTCACTGCTGTTCGGACACAGGACCTTCCGGTTACAAGGCAAGCTCGTAAACTACGCAGCCAATGGGACCCAATCCAGTGGCCCATGAATTTCAACTTCTGCCAATTCATTATAGAGATGGCACAACCATCAGCCAATGTCGTCAGGGAGTAACTGTTCTCTTGACTGACTTATTAAATCCCTCTGGCCAGGACTTCTCACCACAGGGGCATTCACTAGTGAGTATCAAATTAATAATTGCACTCACTAGGGATAGAACTCAGGTAACCTTCCGATTACAAGGTGAGCTCGTAGACCATTCAGCCACTGGAAAGTACGTTCTACCAAAAGAGTCCTAAAGTAGAAAGAAACAGCTATCCAATACTCCATAGTTCTCTGACTGATGTCAGCTCGTGATCCAACCTGTCGCCAATCCAATCCCACTGAACCAACACCCTTGAAAGACAATCGTGTCTACTTGTTTCTTATGCACCCAAATTAGTATTTAGATTATACATTATAAAAATCATTGTAACAGACAGAATTGATTCAACGACGTTCCCTCATTGAGACTCGAAAGCAGCACTCATTACTTAAAAACGAAATAGCTGTCCAGTCCTTTTTTAATCTCCAGTGTTTTCCTAAATCATATTGATTTCTGAGGAAATCAGACTAAAGGCCGTTTAAATTTTCACTAACTTAAGTTCTGAATGCACATTTTATTATGATTATATTAGTTCCAAGTGGAAAAACACTTAGAATAAAACACGGGTTAAGGACACATACGTGTTTATTTATAAAGATTATTTATATGTTGTGTTCAATAAGTTGAAACGGAATATGATCCATTGAAATGTATAAGATATTAAACAAATTTTCTTCTATATATATTAGTAGGTAAGATATGCCGTCTTTAAATAATTCGGTAACGGTGATCGATAAATTTACCCGTCATATCATAGAATAGCAGTCAAACCTGTACCTTAATTTCATGGACTTCAAAAAGGCCTTCCATTGACAGCGTTGACCGAGAAGTAATTTGAAAACCGCTTCAGTACTATCGAGTGCAGTGTCCCAAGTCTTTACCAACCTCATTCAACAGATGACTATATGACAATGCGACGTGCCAAGTGATCCACAACGGGAAACTCAGCGAGGCGTTCGAGTTAAATACAGGAGTAAAACAAAGGAATGAGAAGACAGCAATACGTTGGACAGTTAAGAAGACTCTATAAGATCTGGATTTCGTGGATGATTTATGTCTAATGTCACACAAAGTCGAAGACTTACAGGCGAAAACCAATGAACTAGCAGCACAGAATGGACTCCAGGTGAACTTAAAAATGAGGTAAGGAAGATAGCTAACCAGCAGCAACAGCAGCAACAAACAGCACTAATCAACATCACCGGGACAGATTTGTCAGAAGTTACTTCCTTCACCTACGTAGGAAGCATCGTTTCAGCTACAGGTCGGCGGAACGGATGAAGATGTCAAAGCCAGCCATAATCAGGAAGACAAGATACACGTTCATCAACCTGAAATCAGTTTTAAAATCTGCACTCAACATAAGGAGCAAGATTTGGATTTTCAGCACAAATGTGAAGTTAGTCACTTCTTCTATATGGGTCAGGAACTTGCATTGCGTGTCAAGAAAAGAATTTTCAACAAGTTACAAACCTTTATCAAACGCTGTTGCCTTCGCCAGCTCCATGTTGAAGATCACATGGCCAGCCAGAAAGAATTAGCAACAAGAAACTCTGGCAATAAACCAACCAAGAGCCGATGGTCAACAAATATGTAGGAGAAAATGGAGGTGGATTGGGCATACGTTGAGGAGGCCATAGAATATCATCGGGCGCAATGCAAGTAAACGCAAGAAAGAGAGAAGATTGGAGTGAGGATAGCAGCTCCACGGCGTAAAAGCAAAGCCACTGCTACTCCAAGCTTTATGCTAAACTTAGAATGCAAGGGAATCAGAAGAACATCGATCGAGGATCACAGCCATACGATTTACATCTCTCTGGTAGCCTCGACCTAACAGTCAAGACTTCACAGATTCGTGTCATGTCTTGGTTTGACTAATTCTAACACTTTCTAGCATTGTTCCGTATTTTAGTTAACATTACTTGTTGAAGAACCCAGCAGCTTGGCATGTGTAACACATGTCCAAGTCCCCTCGGCGGATAGAGATTTACAATCTTGTGAGTTGCCTTATCTCCTTATTTAACATTCTGATTTTTAGAGCATCACCACTAACAATGTTGCATCGTCCAACTAGAGAAAACGAACGAAAATTCTTCAGATCAAAAGCTTCCAATCTTTTCATACCTTGCACTTTCTGTGACTCAGCTGCAGAACAGTAGTTTAGGACAAATCATAGTGTAAAGCAATTCACAGACTCTTAAATCTGTAGCCAGACATCGAATCTAAGTCAGAATAATGAACATATAAGCATTTTTTAAACTGTTTAATGGCAAGCATGGTGAAATTCTTTTACTACATTCGCTGAATCTGCAAGGGATGATTACGAAAAGACATTTAGAGGTATCACGAACTTTTCCATTGATCCGGATAATACGTGGAATCATCTGACTTTGATGAAGAGAAAGAGATGATGGTTGGTGGTCAAAAGAAGAAATTTGTACGCTGAAGAGAGCCGAAGGGCAGTTGTTACCTTCCCACGAAACTGTTACGCACTCAGCTTAATGATGAGACCATGGCGTTTATATTCACGAAAGAAACAACTAAAGACATATCTGAAAATGAGACTAGTACTCATTCTGAGAAAGTCTGGAGTCATATCGAGTCTGTTGTAGAAACAGTGGTAGAGACTGGTTACAGGATTTCATCATGAACTGACATTGGTTAGAGAACCACTGGAAAGTCTGGGAGTACTGGACAGCTATTTCGTCCTAGTTTGGGACTCTTCATCAGTACGCACCCACCGGGGTTCGAACCCAGGACCTTCTGGTTACAAGGCGAGCTCGTATACCATTAAGCCACTGGGACCCGATCCAATGTCCCATGAATTCTAACTTCTGCCAATTCACGAGAGACTATTGATAACTTGCAAGCAATAATTAGCAAATATCATTGAGTTACTGGAGATCCATCCAAAGCTAGAAATGAAAGTAAACTGAAATCTGTGGACTCCTAACATTGTGGAAGTACAAGCTACTCAAATACAAGCTGAGGGTTTTCATAATGAATGCAACCATTGGTGGATAAGAAAAGCGGAAGAAATAAAGAAAGTTTTACTTGCGGGTAATATCTGACCACCATTTATGCTCAATTAGGGGACGGATAAGTGGAATGGTTTCCGAGGGGTATAGGGCTTCAGTTACTTCTCATGGGAGAGA